CTGCCGCCGTCTTTAATTTTGAACTACTGACCAGAGAGAAGGAAGCCAGTCATAAGCAACCTACCACTCACGCTAAGGAACTGATTGTCACCCTTATAATACACCCACGGTTTAGAGAGCGGAGAATATTTTGTGGTATCACACTTATCAAAACTAGGCTCGCCATGTCCAAAATCCAGTACACAATGACGCTTGGAAATGTCAAAATTAAAAATAAGACAACATATATAACCATCTTAAGGAACAGTTGTGACTATCGGATATTAATCGTTTAATAGTCTGTAAAATAATATAAGTCTAATTATTAATTAGTTATTCAATATTAATTAAGTTTTATCCATCCTCCGTTTCAACTGCTAATCAGGCGCCGTCTCCATAGAGGTCCTGAGAAGGTGTTGATGGGGGATCTTGATAGACAGAGGGGGATATGTTATTTATTCTTCTAGAATCTGTCCGTATAGCTGCTTGAGAGCTATCTGCACCAGGCGTCCCTAATTTTGTAGTGATATACTAGAGAGAAGGCAGCTAGTCAACACCATCCATCGCCAACTCTTGGGTTATTCTTTACCTACGAATATTGGGATTGACCGTGTCATTATAACGCCCCCACGGCTGAAAGGACGAGTATGTTTGGTGACCGGTTTCGACCCGCAGATTGCGAGTCGAGTTCCCTATCCATTAGGCCACGTTGTGCCGACTTCTATGATAGTTTGACTGACAGTGTTATCAGTTAGGCGCATGTAGACCACTTTTCCTTTACGCTTAGATGATAGTATATGCTGCTAATGGTGACGATTTCTTAGGCTTAGGTGATAGTATAGGCTGCTAATGGTGACGACACCTTAGGCTTAGGTGATAGTATAGGCTGCTAATGGTGACGACACCTTAGGCTTAGGTGATAGTATAGACTGCTAATGGTGACGACACCTTAGACTTAGGTGATAGTATAGGCTGCTAATGGTAACGATACCTTAGGCTTAAGTGATAGTGTAGGCTGCTAATGGTGACGACACCTTAGGCTTAGGTGATAGTATAGGCTGCTAATGGTAACGATACCTTAGGCTTAAGTGATAGTGTAGGCTGCTAATGGTGACAATATATAACCATCGTTTATCGTAATTCGATCTTTTTGTTTCTTTTCAAACGATAAGTATGTTATAAGTTAATTTCATTAATTAATTATGAGAGTATGTAATTTAGAAAATCCGTCATATAAGTTTATACAAAATTATAAGTTCAAAAAATAAAAACACTGCACTCAAACAGCAAACTAACTTTAGAAACAGAACATACTTCATAGATAAATCACGTGAAACAGAACATACTTCATAGATAAATCACGTGAAGTAAACTATGACGCGTATGATGAAATTTAATAGCTTGTTTGCACTATGTTGTAAGACACAAATAATTCATCACTTATCTATATTGAGATGAATCATTTTGTTGAAATATGCAATTTATAGTCATGAGCTGTTCTTACAGTTCATTACACACGTAAACCGGAAGTATAACCACTTATATTTAGTAGCGTGTTTTAAAGTCCTTAAACAGGTCTCACCGCCATTTTAATCTTTTCAGAAAGCATTTACTTACATGTCAAAAATAAAAAGTTCCGATAACCAAACTACCGACTTTGTATGTTTTTCTTATAACAAAGCCACATCGGGCTGTCTGCTGTGTCCACCGAAGAGAATCGAACCCCTGAATTTAGCGTTGTAAGTCCGAAGACGTACCGCTGTCCCACCGAGGGACACCGATTCTGAAATACTGTTCGGTTGTATTAATTGAACAAAACACCTTCCTAGTTAACAGATGGACTATTTGTTTTCTCGGATCGTTACAAGAGAAGGCTGTACATAATGTTTCGGTTGTCTTATCAGGAATTAATAACTCGTATTATTTTTTTTAAAACATAAATACATATATATATATATTTATACGTTCAGCTTTTACTCCTGACTAAATATATATATAATATATCAAACATAAACATAAAGGAAACAGGATAAATAAAACCGAACTTTATTTAAAACCACACACCTTATTCCTGCACCAGCGTGAAACATAAAAGGTATTACGATGCACGAAAATAAACTTTTCTGATTCATTTCTGCTCTGTTACAAAAAACTTCAAAAGCTTGTCTCGTTATTCACAGAATTTATTATTCTAAAAGTAACCAACCAGAGCTAACAGCCAACAAGTGTTAATAATGTCATTTTATTTCATTTGTCAATAGTAGCAGATTTTTAGTGTCTTTCAACCTGAACGCACACGTGCATATTCTGAATCCACTGAGGAACTGTGCGTATAAAGTATGTGGTTGTGAAAATACAAAATTATTTGTTTTAATGGTTTGAACAAATACAAATAATATATATATACTATTAACAGTATTATGGATTTCGTCTTCAATTAGCGGTAATCCTAAATTCAAAAAATTGTATCCTATGTTGAAGCGCGAATACTTGTGGAAGTTTTACTATTTTTTTGTTTAAGGGAGAATTCCAATATTTATCTTACATTCAACATTCAAAGTACAAGTTTCTAATCGAAATGTACTTCAACATGACTGAATCTTGTTCTGTTTGTGCTAAAAGAAGTTAGGGTTAATTGTACATTTGCAAATAACTTAAAACAAGGAACAAAACTGACCGTATGGTTAGGGTTAGTTGTATTTCTACAAATAACTTTAAACAAGGAACAAAACTGGCTATATGGTTAGGGTTAATTGTATATCTACAAATGATTTAAAACAAGGAACAAACTTACTATATGGTTAGGGTTAGTTGTATATCTACAAATAACTTAAAACAAGGAACAAAACTGACTATATGGCTAGGGTTAGTTGTATATCTACAAATAACTTAAAACAAGGAACAAGACTGACTATATGGTTAGTTGTATATCTACAAATAATTTAAAACAAGGAACAAACTTACTATATGGTTAGGGTTAGTTGTATATCTACAAATGATTTAAAACAAGGAACACTGCTGACTATATTAGAAATCCTTATAATTCGACTACTCTCGCAATTGTATGAGCACCGTTCAAACTCTGCACGATTTGCCAATTAGACTTTTGTTGAATTTTACATGCTTATCACTTCGTAGAAACACTTGTGTTAACTTCCGAATAACATTATCATTCTGATTACCTTAAAAATAACAAGAGAAAAAATATCTGTCAAATCCATGTGGAAAGCTGGAAAAAATATAGACTATAAGTGTATTATATATTTAAAAAAAGGAAATAGGTGTAATATACAGGAAAGTGAGAAACCTACAGAAATTTCTCAAATATCAATAAAAGTCAAAATACTTATTGTGAACTTACGTGTTTTGTCCTGTATTAATGTTAACCTGAAAATGCTGCTATTAATCATTTAAAAACAATAGAAGTTATAGTATACTTCCCGGACTGAAATATGCACTTTTCATGAAATTCTGATATTAATCTACATATGAGTAAATGGCAAACCATCGGGGCCGTAATACATTGGATCGACACATTTTCGAAAAAGCCAATGATAACACAGTTTTCAATCACGTGGTGTCTCTTGAACGCTTTATGGCCCTGTAGATCGATAAACAATAGGATCACAACATATTGACTCAACCCGTTGCCGACAACGCGTTACGGCCCTACAGATGGTAGCCAACAGAGCTTTCATCTCACTCGTGGAGTCAATACGTTATTACCCTGCTGGCTACCATCAAATTTTCCGCAACGCTTTGAACCAATACATTATGGCTTGCCATACGAGAGCGTATTAATTATTATGATTGCAAAGGTGGATATATTTGCATCGTTAGTATTTTCAAAGTTACACATTTGACACGTTAACTGTTGTTCAAACCTCACTTTGAGTGTAATAAAGTAGGTTTAATACATTTTTATTTAGACGTTAAGAATTTTCCGAAAATAAAGTCTGATTCGTCTCTTTGTGTGTGTGCTGATTTGCAAATACATACGGTTTATATACGTAAATCAAAAATAACTTTATTTTAAGCACAAAGCTACACAGTGGGCTATCTGCGCTATCCACAGGCATCGTGGAGAATCGAACCTTGGATGTTAGCGTTGAAAGGCCTCGCTGGAGCTTATCGCTGAGCCATTGCAGGGGGGAAGGTCAAATCGAAAATATAACAATCAGCGTATGATATGTTACTAGTTAACTTTTACATCAACGTAGTAGTTGAAATCTATGACATGTCTATTACAGAAGCCCCCACACAGTGGCACAGCGGTATGTCTGCGGACTTACAACGCTAGAATCCGGGTTTCGATACCCGTGGTGAGCAAAGCACAGGTAGCCCATTGCGTAGCTTTGTGCTTAATTACAAACAAACAAACAATTATAGAAAACTATTTCAAATCCTCCGGGGGGTCAGCAGTAAAAGTAGGGACTGGCAACCCTAAAATCTGGGGTTCGATTCCCTGAGGTGGACAAAGCGCAGATAGCCCAATGTGGCTCTTCGCTGAAACAAACAAGGTTATTCCAATTTTACAAGGGTTAACATTAAACATATCAACTACTATTTGTGATATTGGAATTATACATGTTACTGTTCTCAAACTTATTTATCGTGTAGGTTTTATCCATATAGACTAGATATCAAGAAAACGTTGTTAGTGGCTTTATTTCTTGGTATTTCCTAGATAATATTTGTTTGTTTAGCGTAAAGCTACACAATGGAATCGAACCTCGGATTTTATCGTTGTAAGTCCGTAAACTAACTCTGGAACCACCAGGTGGAGCTAAGATTTGTTGAGTTTCGGACTTATACATCCTCAATTAATTTCAATGATTTTAAAAGTTATACAAACAGTAGTTCTTAGCACCTTGCTAGAAAGAGCATATCAAACTTACGGAGTTGCATAAAACCCTAAACCGAAAAATACATATTTATTTGTTGCGACATCAGAACTAAATCTTTAAACATTTTTATGAGATTGTCAGAGCAAACAATTGAAAAAATATATACATACAGTGTACTCATATCTTCGTCTTTTATTATACAAGATAGCCACATAACATAACATGTGCCACTACTTATACCAGAAAATACACGTGCAGAAACACAATGGAGGAAAACAGGTACGCGAGTACATATGTGCTTGTTCGTGTTCGTTAGTAATAAAACATAGTTAGAAAAAAATGGCACTCTAAAACGACTGGTGATAATGGCTCCGGAATTATTAAAGATGTTGAAACAACAGTAACAGTGTACAGTGGAAAAATAAAAATAGACTTCCAGAAACATAATTTTTCGGTATCCCCCCCTTCCCCCCCGTTTGGGAAGTAGAACTTCGCATTGCTCCTTAGGTTATTTTTACCGGCGCTACTATCATCAAGTATTTTTTCGCAATTCGTACTTGTAACCCTTAGCAACAACAAAAGTATTGTAACCCTTAGCAACAACAAAAGTGTTGTAACCCTTAGCAACAACAAAAGTGTTGTAACCCTTAGCAACAACAAAACAAAGCAATCGTTTTATGAAATAATCTGTAAACAGACAGAAGCCATTTTTTAAACGAACTTGAACAGAAGAAAATACTATTCCTTTAAAATCCAGAGACTACAATTATAAATAAACTATAAAACTAACAAATGTTTATTTAACTACAGTTTAGCTTAGGAATGTTAATTTTGTTTATTGTAAACAAAAAAGTTACTGCGTAGATCGTCGTATATTTCGTCTTAGGAAACTACATGGCTGATTTTTTAACGCGATTTTTATCACAAAATTTATGCACAATTGTCACTTACAATGATACAAGTCAATTACCCAATCAATAACTGTTACAAAATAATTTAACGAAAATGTACAGACAAAAAAAAATTAAGAAAACAAGCTTGAATTTATTAACACATTCATTAAAAACACGCTTATTTCTACTCTTTTTTTTTACATACAGAAAAACTAATTTCTAACATTTAAACGATCGCAGAATAATAACAGCATAAAAAAGGTCTTTAAAAGAACACTTGTATACTTACCCATAAAGTTTACTTTTGAATACTAGATGAATAATTATGAAACATGAAAATAAAATACTCAAACAAAACCTTTTATAGTGATCCCAAAGTTTTAACAAAGTAAATATTTTAACTTTCCAGACACACTATTTATATAACGATCAGACACAATGTATTATTTAGAAGAAAATCAATTAGTTATATATATTACTACACAAACCTAAATATTAAGTATATTTAGCTTCTTGTTCAAGTGTTGAACAATGAATATCCAGTAATAAGGCCTAACAAGGAATATCCAGTAATAAGGCCTAGCAAGGAATATCCAGTAACAACGGCTGTCACAATTAATATGAAAAGTTACATTTACGAAAATGAAAAATGGGCGATAGATTAACTAACCATAATTTAACATTGTAAGTTAAATTATTTTTAATTAATGTTTCATCTTTGTAACTGTAACTTTTCAGGTTAATGTTTTCAAACTTAATATTTATGTATCATCTACTCCACTTTATATCGGCACAGTAATTAAAACGTCTTTAACGTTAAAACACACCCTGAACACGTAAATCTATCATAAAAATACAACATCAAACAATAATAGGCTTAACAGAACATTTGAGCATATATAATAACTATGCTTAATTAGTTAATATAAAAAGTTTCAAGTTTTAAAAACACGTTTTACTTAAATACTACGACTATGCACTGAAAATTAGGAAAACACACGTGCAAGGCTTCTTGAACATAATTTATTATAATTAATAAATTATATAATAACCTTAGCCTAAATCGTTAAGCAACGTCCTTTCGATCCGTTTTCACTCTTTTGGCCAATTCTTCAATCACTTCTTTAAAAATCACTGGATCTATGTTCAGTCCCAACATGAATATAATGAACCAATTTCCAATAGAACCATTTTTAACGACAGTTTTTAAATCTTCCGGGCAGACGATTCGAAAACGAAAGTTTAACAAATACACCCTCACGGGCTGACAGGCAATAATAACAACCCGATAAATAAGAACTAATCCAGTAAGAATCGCCAAAACTATGAACCAAAACCATAGAAATATGTAAATTTTTTCATTAACTATGTTTAAAGGCAACAAACATAAAGCATCGTGTGATTCTAGATTTCCAGATGCACCAAACTTGAAAAACCTGCATTTTGCAACCCGCGGGAAAACTCGAATCATGGGATCTAACCTCTCGCTTTGTTCCATTTCGGAAAATTGTATAACATCCAAACCATACGTTAAAAATTCTCCATCAAAGAAAAGGTTCATTAGAAACATCTGACCAACAACATTGACAAACGTTAAGGCCTCACAAAAAAAATATTTTAAGGCATACCAATCATGCTGCCCTGAACTACATGTTAAATAATCAACCAAGAGCTTCTTCTTCTGTTTCTTCTCCGTTTCTGCAAACAGTCCAATGTCCAGGTCCATCATCAAGGCTTGGATTTTCCCACCTTCCCATAACTTCCAAAGCCACTTAGGAAAATAAAACAATGCCGCTTGAAAAAACAACATAAAACACACCCATTGGTAATATTTGTGATATTTGAGTTCTTGGGAGCTTAAGTCGCTGGGCAAATAACCTGCGTCGACTCCTGGATAAGGAATTTCCTTACCCACAATTTTGTCGTAGGCACTAGGTAGTGAAAAAGTTGCGTGGATCCAGCAATATGTGTTGATTATACTCTGGGGTACTTCTTCGCTTTTGATACAGTCGATTGGATCCCCCACGAACTGTTTCATCGATACAACTATAGTGAACGCTAACAGTACCGTAACGGTTACTGCATAATGTAGCCTAAATACGTCGTTGTCTATCTGTATTCTACTGGTTTTCAACAGACTTTTCAAGCTGCGTATCACGTCTAACATTGTGGTACTTTGACAACGAACAGAAGACACCCACCTCTCAAATCACTTCAATAAAACACGTTATTCGCGCCGAAACGATTATTGTTTATAATTATTTGCAAAGTATCATGGGATATTACCCGCTTCCCCACTCCCATTGGTGCATAGCAAACCAACAATTACACTTATTTTATTACCACGTGGTGCAACTATATTGAAATATTTGGCGCTACTCAATTGCAGACATCAAGCTAAGTAGCTCCATGACATGTATTTCAAAGTTTAAAGCGTGTTTTTGATAATTTCTTGTGACAGGTTTTTACTCTGAACTTCACGCCGTCTCAGCTATAGTGGAGATTATTAGTAATTTCATATTAAAATATTTTATATTGGTCATTCAAAATAAAATTTTCCTTTAGTCTAACTTGGATTCATGTCTTCATAATGGATTCACTTTTCTAATTTAAAAAGACTATAATTTCAAGGTTAGGCCAGCTTTACGACATAAAGTTAGGAACTCGCTAATCTTCAATATATTTACCACATCTCGACATCAAGCAGTTGAAACGCGGGCGTGTTTTACAATCTTAGCCGCGAAACAGGTCTTGAGCTTGGGGTCCTGGATTCTTCTACACCACTGGACCAGTCAGACTGTCAACTTTTTGAATCAAGTAGATAGCTGATGAAGAAGTATACAAAATTCTGATATTTAGTGTTAAATATGGGCTTATAGTATTACATAAGGCGTTATGAGGGTGACCGTTGTGCTTATCGTAAATGACTGGCTGGGAGATGAATTCAAAATTCAAGAACTACAAAGCTCCATATTAATTCCACGATTCATCACTATCAAACATGAACTTTCAAAGTATCTGTTCATAAGACGAAAATTAAACTACAGCTACAAACTATACTTTTTAAACTTTAAAAACATTATTATGAATACATAAAATAAGCTAGCCTTGTATGTATACTGCAGTCTAGGTAAGCCTACTTCCTTCTTCCTACCTTCTCCGAGCTCTCGTTCTCTAAATGCGATTTTGTGAGCATGCGTAAAATTCACGAGATGTCGTTTTGAGTGGCAAGGTATTTGGAACGTAGGATATACTTGTTAGCTTCTCAACAATTACATTTATTTCACAAAAGAAAACTCTTACTAATCAGAATCCAGATTAAAATAATTTTGTAACATATATTTTATTATTAAGGTAAAAAAAAATTAACGTACATAAAAAAATGTGGACGATTTTTAACACATAAAAAATACGTTGAAACACCACTTAGATAACAGCGAAGTATTCGAAATTATATTTTTTGAATTATCGACTTTAAAAGGGTTAAAATATTGCCAAGTTTAACGTTGATAATTTTGAACTTGTATGTCATGTGTGTGTATGTATGTATATATATAAATATGCCTTCTTTAAATAGCAGTTCAGCTAAGCCTATATGATTTAAGCACGGCTGGCCTGGCATAAGAAAAATAAAAAGAGACCCTGCCGTCGGATACCTAGCATAAAATATGTAATACTTCTAATAGCCTTCTCATCCGAGATCTTGTCTCAGTATCTGGCATGTGAAATACCAAGATCGTTAGAAGCTTTCTTGTACGGTTACTTAACCCTCACTGCAAAAATAAAAAATGTATTTAAAACAATTGCATTCATTATTTATAATTATACTTTATTAATACTTCCCAAAACAACTTTGGATTGTATTTATTTCCTAACTCACACCGGGGGTATCGAACAGGAAAAGATTTACTGTCGTGACGTCAGTAAAAACTCATGCTGGCAGTGTTATGTATTCATAGACCTGAGCGATTTCCAGTTATATATATAAAAAAAAACAAAAAACTCATTCGGCGTTTTGGATCCGTGGCGCCCTCCTTTGCATAGTTAAAATTCTTATTTTCGGACTTTTTTATGTAAATAATAAAAAACGTACAGTAGGTTAACGACTTTATAAGTTCAACTTTAACCAGTTTAAAGTCATAAGAGATCATATCACCAATTTTTAGAAACAGGATCATATAACCAAGTTTTGGGAAAAAGTATCATATCACCCACCGCTAATTCTTGGGCTACTCTTTAATCAACAATAATTGGGATTCAAGGTCACATTACAACATATTAAGTTCCTAAAACTTACTAAAACTCGTGGATATTAAACCTTTTGTTACATGTTCTTACTTAAAAACTAAACAAGTCTAAATGCTACTTAAGGGCTATCTGCACAACGCCGTCCCTAATTTCAAACTGACAGACTAAAGCAAGAGTCGAAACATTGTTTTTGAACAAAACCACAGTGAGCTATGTACTGTGTCCTCCAAGGGGAATCGAACACCAGTTTTTTTAGAGTTGAAAGTTAGGAAATATATCGCTGTTCCACCCATACCCCGTACACTCCAGATAGTGATAATAAAAACAACCACGTTGCACGTACATGAAAAAACTGTTTGTACGTAAAAAATATCCCTTCAACTTTGAGAAACAAGATTGTTTACATATTATGGTTTGATTGGCTTTCCTAGCATATCAGTCTTGGTAAGTCCTAGTAAACAAACATTAAGGTTTAAAACCAATAAGAGTCAAAATGTAAATAATATAAAAAAGGGGGAGTTACACCATTTTTATATCTTAAATAGAGGTGTTACGTCTCCGTTTGTTAATTAACTTTCCGTAACTTCGTTCCGACGAAACTTTAGCGACACAAGTCCTTACTTAATAAAACTGGTTTATTCTTTCCGAATACAGCTTTACGATACACTTATTTTCAACAATCGCGCTAAAACAAACGCTATAACAACGAACGTTAACTTCAACAATACGTCTCTCTCTGACTGCAGTTCAATTACTCACTATCTACACACATATTACATTACCGTCACGTTGTCACCCTCTTTTATATACCAGGCTACCCTATATCTAGTAAATGCTAGAGCATTCGCCAAAGTACAGGATAGTTCTAGAAAGTAGAGGGCGTGAGAATAGTCACGTGATCTCGATGACGCAACAGAGGTTATAAATAGTATTGGTCTTCCTATAAAAGTTTTACAGATTTATCAGGTATAACTGATGAGAAAAGATATTATTTTGAAGAGACTGTGGAATTCCAAGAACCAAGCATGTGCATTGTAGGCCTAACTAAGTCTTATATTTATCACCCCTCAATTTGAAGAGACTGTGGAATTCCAAGAACCAAGCATGTGCATTGTAGGCCTAACTAAGTCTTATATTTATCACCCCTCAGTTTGAAGAGCCTGTTGAATTCCAAGAACCAAACATATACATTGCAGACCTAACTCAGCCTGTATAGTAAGCCTTATATTTATCGTTTATTTATCACCGCTCAGTTTGAAGAGCAGGATTCAAAGTGGTTCCAAAGTGAGAACAAGAGAAGGGTTCTGTTTGTGGCAACAAAACGTAAACATGTAGGCTAATAATTGTTTCATAAAATATACGGACTTACAAAGCTAAAATACGGGGTTCGGTTCTCCGTGGTAGACACAGCAGATAGCGCAATATGACTTTGCTCTAAAACAACTAAAACCAAATGAAATAAAATTGTAATCAAATATTACATATATATCATTATAAGTACCCTTGTTACTCGTGGCTAACCCTCAACAATTCTGGAATTAAAAACGAGCCTATTAATAAGTTAATCGGATAAAATTTAATGCATATCTATACGTCATTGTTAAGATCGATGGTCCTCGCGGTGGTTGATTAAAAGTTTTATTCAAAATTTATAGTTTGAAATGCAATTTGTCGATTTTGACATGTGCATAGTGAAGCAACATATTTCAGGGACACATTCAACTAGACACACGACTAGTGCTGCCAGATCAGTGGGGCCTCATTTTATATATATATATATATATTTAAAAACATCATAAATTAATTTATTTTTTCAAGACAATGAGAGGGTTAATTACGACTGAGAATTTGTATTTGGCTATTATTTAAAAAAAAAGATATTGTTATCAGTATATTCAATGTAAATAATTTGTTTATTGTATCTGATAATGCATTGATTATCTGATTATTGTATCTGATAATGCAAGTATCCAATCATTGCAGATCCACTTTTCAAATCCACTTGCTTTAAAAGAGAATCACCGTCTCTACTTGACAAGGAACGGTGACATCCAATTAAAATCCTATACCATGACTTCGTTTCTCGTGGCCTGGCATGGCCAGGTGGTTAAGGCACTCGACTCAC